TTTAATGAAAAATACCATTCGTTTTTATGAAAACATCAACCCCCAATACGATTCTTCAGCTTGGGCTACATTAGAAAATACCGAGGCCTTATATTCAATACCCTCTATCTACAATTTTCACAAAAGCTAGATTCTGATATAAAAATCCACTTGAGACTTAACTGTCATCGGTGATAATAATGCTGACCTTGTATAGCGTTTGACAGAAGAATTGACTATTAAACTGCAAAGTCAGAATTAACACAAGTGATGATAGCTTTTGTGAAAATTGCAGATAAAGGGTATAAGACCTCGATACACTGGAATTTGCAAACGACATTACAACTCTGCAGGAAAAAATTTACGTTGAGATTTTCAAATAAGTTACATTTATGTTGTATTTTACACTCATCAAAGTTTAAGCTAAGTAAATCCAAAAATTGTAAGAATATTTGAACAAAAAAATTTACTCTGGAAATTTTGATATTTTTATACCCGAGCGCACTTGTGCACAAGGGTATATTAATTTTGTTCACATAACGGTTGTTTGTAACAGCCAAAACGAATCGAGATAGATATAGACAAATGTATACATAAATGCTCAGAATGAATAGAGAAAAATCGATTAAGCCATGTCTGTCCGTCTGTAACTCGAGCAAAAATTGAGATATTTCAACGAAATTTGGTATGTAGGTTTCCGTTAATCCAAGGTTGGTATTGAAAATGGGCGAAATCGGACTTTAACCACGCCCACTTCCCATATAACGGTAATTTCCAGAAATACGAAAACTGCGATATTTTAGTAACTATTGAAGATAATTCACTCAAAATTGACATTTACAATAATTTTTAGACGAAAAATAAGAATATTATAAATTTTTAGAAAATGGGCGTAGCCACGCCCACTTATGGTTACATGTGTATATCTTGGTAACCGCTGCACCAATTTCATCCAAAATTGGCACAGTTGTTGACCTTCGCACAACATACCAAATGGCCGAAAATTTCTAAAATCGCTCAATAACCACGCCTACTTCCCATATAACGGTAATTTTCAGAAATACGAAAACTGCGATATTTTAGTAACTACCGGAGATTATTCACTCAAAATTGATATTTACAATAACTTTTAGACGAAAAATAAGAATATTATAAATTTTTGGAAAATGGGCGTAGCCACGCCCACTTATGGTTACATGTGTATATCTTGGCAACCGCTGCACCGATTTCATCCAAACTGGGCACAGTTGTTGGGCTTTGTGCAGCATACCAAATGGCCGAAAATTTTTAAAATCGGACAATAACCACGCCCACTGTCCATATAAGGGTAATTTAGGGAAATACGGAATCTTCGATAAATCAGTAAATATTAAAGCTAATTTATTCAAAATTGACGCTTGCAACAATTCTTTACCAAGAAATACGTCTATGGTAAAAGTTTGGAAAATGGGCGTGGCACCGCCCACTTATGATCACATATATGTATATCGGTAACCGTTATACCAATTTGTACCAAACTCGGTATTTTTATTGTGCTTGCCACATAAAAGCAAAACGTTGAAAATTATTGAAATCGGACTAAAATTACGGCCGCTCTTCATATAACGGTAAATTTCAGAAATGCTTGAAATTTCAATACTTCGTAATTTAAAACGCTAATTTACTTAAAATTTATACACCCCGGCTTATCATGTAGCGGTAGCTTTCGGAAAGGTGGAAAACATATATTTAATACTTGCGCCGGGTATTTAATGTTCGGCTCCGCCCGAGCTTAGACTTTCTTACTTGTTTGTTTTAGTTTTCAAAATTGTAAATCTCTTAAAACGCGATCAAATTAACAGCGCTTTTAGCAAAAACCAAACAAATTTGTAAAGGATTAAAGGCTCTACATGTACACACACCTCGCGTCAAAATTATAACAGCACTTTATATTGACAAGTTTACAATTTGTAGGTTGTTTTTTTTTTGTTATTTAATTGTAGCTATTTTTGTTATAAAAATAATTTAGTTTATTCTCTAACCAACCCCGTATAAATCCAAGCTTGAAACTTTTTGCATTAAAAAATTTAAATTTTCGTAAAAATATCAAGTTTTTTAATTAGATTTCTTAGAAAGATTTTGAGTATGCAGTTTTGTAGCCCATTAAGTTTTGGTAATATGCAGGTTTAAAGTAGCTAAGATTGGTTTTTTGGATTTTTTTTTTTAATCGTTGAAAATACTTTGTATGGAAGAAAACGCACAACACTGTCAGCAAAAAAAGTTTAAAACTTCCATTTGTACAGTTTTTGTTATAGAAAAATTACTTAAAAATTAAAAACAAACAAATAAATTTTTAAAACTAATATGTGGTGCGCTTATAATTCTATTATAAAAAAATATAAAAAAAATTGTGTAGAGCATTTATATCCATATAGGCATTTCTGCATCAAAAAGGAAATTGTGAGAAATTGTCGCTTACTTTTTTTTGCCTGTTAGCGCTCGATATATGTATTGCTTATTTGCCAGATACATGTCATTATTCAAAAAAACAAAAATGCGTTCAGGACCAACACCCGCGATTTGCTCTGGAGGGCCTTCTAACTTTGCATTAACATTAATAAAAAAAACTTAAGAGTACTAATTAATTTTTTTCCCCTTGCAGATCATTATTCATTACTACGGAAATCCAAATAGGCTGCACGGGATCACAAACCACCATCGCAAATAAAACTTTGAAATACTACAGTCGAAGTAAAGCAGCGCTGAAGAATGTGAGGCCAAAAAATGAGCTATACAGCAAAAGTTACAGAAAAGTGTGAAAAGTGAAAATCAAGCAAAAATTTACAACAAAATTGGAAAAAAGCGAAAAAATCCAAACCAAATTGTGAATGTATTAACTATTGAAAACTGTTTCGATAAACCCCCATTGAGCTATAAACTACGAAAAATTTGTGAAATTTCAGATAAAAAATTGAAAATAAAACAAACTAAAAAAATTGTGCAAAAAAAATTGTTCTAATAAAAAACAAACGAAAACAATTCTGGAAAACTTGTGCGCTGCTGCTGAAACACACAAAAAAACAGCAATAAAAGCAACAGGATTTATAAGTAAAAGTGAAACTCTATAAAAAAATAATCTTCTAGAAACCCGGATTTGACAACAACAGCGCAGACATTTTCTAATACTGATTGAGACTGTTGTGATTGGTTCAAAACATTTAACGTTGAAAGCAAAAAAATTACGCGCCACTGCTTTTTCATGTTTCTGTAAATTCTGCTGCGTGAAAAAAAGAACGAACTAAAACAGTTGCAGCAAAAAACGTAAACAAAATTACTAAATTTAGTTTTTGTTGGTGATGTGTTCGCACAGCGTAATCTGTGCAAAAAAAAACATTGTACCTACAAAAGAAGTGAAAAAAGTGCGGCGATTAACATTAACTGAACAATTAATTTTTCCACTAGTTTATGCAAAAAAAAAGTAAAAAATGAAATAAAAACTGCAACTTTGACACGGCGAAAACACGATAAAACAATTGTAAAACATTTCGCATAGTTTTGCTAAAAAAAGACCGAAAATTTATAAACAAAAACATAAAAAAATTGAGTTAAGAAAGTCGAAACCAGCAGCACATAAATACATACTAAGAAATAATAAAATAAAAAGCCACTTTATTGTGTTGTTGGTATTTTAGTTCTCCGCCAAAAAAAGTGCATTGCAGGGTTGCCAGCAAATCTTTCTTGTGTTTTTTTTTTGTCTGTCACACCACCAGGCACTCAATTACATATTTATTTAAATAAATTTTCTGCTCCCTCCATTTCCTACTTATACAAAAAATAATAACAAAATATAACAAAAAACACAGCAACAAATCTTTGAAAAACAAAACATTTGCAAATTAGTATAAAACGCTCATAAAATTTGTCACTTACATTCTTCCGCAAAAAGAAACGCTATCGATTTTACGAGACTAAGTTATACTAAATAAAGCAGAACTGGTTTGCCGTTATAAGCGTTCGTGTGTGTGCGTGTGTGTATTGCTATAGGTGGCGCGTGTGGCAAATCTACGTTCCGATCAATTTTACAAATGGATTACACCTTCGATTCGCAATCGCAATCTGGACGGTATACAGTAGCAATTGCAGCCACCACCAACAACAACGGTATATTGCTTCATGCAAACACAGTAATACCAACAATTACAACAACAACAGCGGTGAAAGCAACAATCGCCATCACAAAAGTAGCTGGTACTACGTGCGCCATAAAACAGTTAGACTGGCAGGAAGCGAACAAATATTGAAATCGCTCTTAAATTTTTAATTTATGTGGTGAGTAGACAGACAATTGTTTTCCTAATAACTAATGATCATTATTTAAGTTTTTTTTTAACCGACTTCAAAAAAGGAGAAGTTAATCAATTCGTCGGAATATTTTATTTTATTATTGTTATTATTTTTTATTTATGTTACCGCATAACCTTGGACCAGGTTAACCGATTTCTATTTTTTTTTTTTTTAATGGTACCTCAGAGGTAGTCCCAAACTAATTTGGTATGGATCCGATCATTTGATCACGAACGATAATCTTAAATTTTTATATGGGAATTGTAGCCGGTTTTGTTTTTTGCTTAATAATTACTTGTTAACCGACTTCCAAAAAAGGAGGAATTTTTTATTTTTTTTATGTATGTTACCGCATAACTTTGGACCACGTCAACCGATTACCATACTAATCTGGTTAAGATCCGATCAGTGGATCATGAGATATATATATATGAGAGTTTAAGTCGGTTTTGTTTTTTGCTTAAAAATTACTTGTTTTACATAAAATGTTTGGTAAAAAAAACTATTAAGTTTTGTTTACCGCTCAAGAAGGCAAACTTCATTTGGGTTTAAGCTAGGGTGACCATTCGTACCGAGTTTAGCGGAACTGTACTGATTTTATGAAAGTTATCCCGCTAAATATTGGGTCATATAAAAAGTTTCCACGGATTTTAGGGTAAATTTTTGAGAAAAAAAATCTTTATCTATCTATACATATAATAAAATTGTAGCAGGCCGATGTCTGTACATTTTAGATATTAGAGCAATAGAAGCCAAATCAACTTTTTTTAGAATTTGTGTCTGTCTGTCTGTATGTTTGTACGCGCATTACTCGAAAACTAATGCATGAACTTGAAAGTAGTTTTCACCGATGTATTGCTAAAAATCTTACTTAAAATATAGAATGAAAAGAATTTGAGAGTTGCCACCTGTTTAAAAATTGCATTTTAAGTAAATTGATCACATAAAGTAAATATTGCAATATAGCTGTCAAAAGAAAGAGAAGGCTTACAACCGAAAATATTTTTGTGCAGATTGCCACATGTTTGAAAATTTTAATTTAAATACTTCGATAAGATAAATTAAACATTGCAATATGGGTATGAGGTTTAGGAAAGTGTATTACCGAAAGCATTGTTGAGGGCAAATTTCTGTTTGGAAATTATGTTTTTGAGCGAAACGTCCACGTTTTCACTGCCAAAAAAGACACACAGTGAAAACTTTATAAATTTATTTTCATTTGAAAACAGAATGTTAATTTTATGTGAAATAAGGAAAAATGTTTTCACTTCACTTTTTCACAGACTAAAACGGCGTTTCCACTACAACCGAATCACGTGGTTCGCTCTCTCAATTATGAACGGCGAATCAACCTGTTTACACGACACATTCGTGATTCACTTTGCATCTCTGCTTCTTGTTCTTTGCTTTTTCTTAATTTTTAATGTGCTGTTTATAGTGCATTTCAACGGTGGAGAAAAAAATTTGCAGTGGTTAGTTAGCTAAATCAACAGTTTTAACGAATCTAGCTATTTTTTCAATGTTTGTGCTGGTGGGGATGTGTGTGGTCTATGTCTTTTGACAGCCGTTATCGATAAAAATTAGAGAAGACAACGATTTGTTCTTGATTCGCATGTTGATTGGATCTGAATCACCTACGAATGAAGTGATTCGCTCTCAAAATTTTGTATGGCGAATTACGTGATTCGGTTCGTAATTGGGGCGCCAATCACGAATGAGAGAGCGAATTACGAATGGGAGAGCGAATCACTTGCCGTGGAAACATCGTTTAAGAATTGGTCTCCTACTTACCTGGTAGTTATTTAAAAAATTATGAATTTAAAGTTTGATATTTTGATGGACATTTGTCGATAATCGTAGACTTTTATAAATCTTGTACAAAGTTTGGAATTTTGACTTACACGGATTTCGTTAAGTAGTGAGCTGTACTTTTATAAAAAAAAATAATAATAATAAACATCCAATAAACAAAAGAAAAAATAGCCAAAACTTAATAAAATTTCGCGTCGATTTTGGTTTACCCGCCATCGTACGTGTAAAATAACCGTAGAACAGATGAAGAATTGATCCTAACAAGAACGTGAACAATCCACTATAAATATTCAGCAAAAACAGGTACAACAACAGAAATAATTGCAATCGCAACACTGCTTAATAACAACAATTATGCAGCAAAAAAAAACAACAAAACAAAAAAAATCAGCTAGAAAAAGTAACAATTGGTATTGCGGAATAATTGTGGCAAGTTGAGGTTGGTCGTCAGGTGCAAGTGTTGACTATTCTGTATGTATATCTTTCTATACATGCATGCATACATACATACATGCATATTTAAAAGCACGTACTTACTTAGTTATGGACATCCATATGTAAGCGAGAGCAAATTAACAAAGTTAGCTTAGAAAAGATAGAGTTGTAGTTGTGTTGTTAGACATGGTGCCCTGGAAGACAGCAGAGGGGGCTATATCGGGGTAATTTTTGCATTTTTTTTTTGTTTCACTTTTTTCTTTTAATTATGCACGAGAATGTGTGTTGTATATAAAATTAAGAAAAAAGAAAACTCGAAAGAATTATATTAAAATTACATATATGTATGTATGTGTGTATATATTTACTTATAAACATATGCGCATATGTATGTATGTGCCGCTTACTTACGTGCGAGCCACTGCAACACGTCATAAAGTAACGCCAACACTGCCAATTGCCAACTGCCAGCCACCAGCAGCAACAGCAGCAGAAATCACAAACTGACACGCCAACTGACTCTGACTGACTGACGACTGCACAGCAATAAGCAGCAAACCAACAACAAAAGCTGCTTGCTATAACTAACTGCTATGCATTTGAAGTCACCACAACAAACGCCCACTGCATTGGCTATAATGCAGCACTGTGCATTCGCATATTAATTTTATAAATGTGATTTTTTTCGAACATCGCGTCGCTTTTTTCCAATATATCTATTTTTTTCGTTTTGTTTCTCATTTTAATTTTTAATAGCTAATTTGATTAAAATATGAGTTTTACAAGTGTAGTAAAAAGTTGTTAGAAAAATGCTTAGAACGAGTTAGCCACACTTGAATGCGCTTGTGGAAATGGTCTATAAGGAATTACTTTATTGCATATGTACATACATATGTACGTACATATGTACTTAGCTGGATGATGTATGATGCTGTTGTTTACTTGTGTGGGAGCCTTTGCGTTACTTTAATTGCCTGCCATTTGCGTGCTAACTTATTTTATAAAAATTAAAAATATAAATAAAAGTATCAAGTAAAGATTTATCTCCACGTTGATGTTTTCTGGCTTATATGAGATATGGCTTTCTGTTAGATGTATTTTTTTGTAATTTGATTATTCAAATGGCTCCCTGTAAATAGCTATTTGCTTCGAATTATTTGAAACAAAATACACAGTCGTTAGCATAGCTCTGCATATCTTTTAAACTTAATTCAAGAAACTAGTTTACGAATAGTTAGTTCCCAACTAGTCACCATTTCAAAAAATGTATTAAAAAAAAGAGTTGTGCGTGGATCGCACGTGCTAGTGAAGTGCTTCTTCCTACTAACCATAAAACTCACCATATTGCATCAGTACTTTTTCGAAATATAGAACCACTAACTTAATCCTAATCTTTATCTTAACCTTAAACTATTTTTACGTACATGTAGATATCCTCATTTTCGAACTCATCTCCCTAGTTAGTAATTATAAAAAGAGATTAGACATACAAAATTCGTCCCTCGTTAATCCCTAATTATAAAATAATCTGAAATTAAACCAGTATACATCCAAGTTTTTTCGATTATTTTTGTGAGGAAGAGAAGAAATGCCAAATGCAAAAGTAAATAAAAATGGACGCCAGCAAGGAAAAGAGGTCCATTACAAACCACTTTTAATAAAATATTAAGATAAAATATATTTAAAGTAATTAATATAGCAGAAAAACGTGAGCATGGTGACACAGAGACACACAGTTATGAGAATAACAAGCACAACAAATTTGACGACTAATAATCTGAGATTTGCCTGTGTTAATAGGGTTCTTAACAAACGAGCTTTGATTGAGATTATATTTATATGCAAACGTGCTTTTTATTAAACCTTAATCCTAAACTTAAGCTTTACCTTAACCTTACACTTAATCATAATCTTAATATTAATCACAATCTTAACCTTAGTATTGATCTCAACCTTAATCTTAAACTTAACCTTAACCTTAATCTGAATTTTAATCTTAATCTCAATCTTGATTTAAATCTAATATAAATCCTAGTCTTGGCCTTAATCTCAACCTTAATCTTAATCTTGCTCTTAATCATAATCTCATTCTTAATCTTAACCTTAATCTCAATATTAATCTAATTATTAATCTGGTTCTTAATGTTATTCTAAATATTATTATATTTACCTTGCTCTTAATGTTAATCTCAATATTAATCATAATTTTAATGGTCCTCGCCAGCTCCTCCGTCGCTTTTTCGTTTCATAGCACTGATTCCACTCTAATAACTTAACTCATTTAAGTACATTAGCGTATTCTTTACAAAAAGCCCAATGTATTTTATGATAGACTCTTAGATCAGCATATCATTCTCGACTACATTTAACGTAGTGCTTGGGACGATTGAGAGCTCGCTCTTGTCGTGAATGGTATCTACATATACATATACATATTTAAGGAGGAGAGCAATTCATGGCGAGTTAGAGTCCCATAACAAGTGCATAGAATGTGCGGTGAGAAGCGTCCCACAGCGAGAAGGGATTTCACCGCTACTATGCCTTGTGGTCTGGAGCAAACTACTAGTAAACGTACACTACCGGGGAATTCAGGTAATATGCCAACGATGTAGCAGTGCACAAATATGAACAAGTAATTTTTAGCAAAAAAAAACCGACTTCAACTCCCATATAAAAAAAAATATATATATATATATCTCATGATCCACTGATCGGATCTCAACCAGATTAGTATGGGA